CTACTGTTTCTCAGTGTTGTTTAGGAAACTTAGTTGTACCTACAAATGGGAAAGATAACTTCAGTTCATGTCATGTTTGATGCACTTTACAGGAGAGCTGAGCAGTACATAACTCATCCTTGAGATATCTTTTCTGTGTACCCTCAGAAAAGAACTGAACCATTTACTCAGTAGTCTCATTGTTTTTGCTGAAATGGTTGAACCCTCAGTTCCCAAAGGAAAACATCCTTTCCTTCTAATTAGTAAGACTATGGAAGAGATTTAGGAGCATGTGAGAAGCACTCAGGATGCTAAAGAGTCTCTTCGGCTAATGTTCAGCATTTAACTCCACTTTCAACCATTTCAGCACTGTATTTTCCTAGTCTGCAATTTCTGCCCTCTCCCCCTCCTTTTTTTTTTTTTTTTCCCGAACAAACTTCACAGGTGCTTAAATGCAAACCCGGTGGCCTTCACCATTGAGAAACTGATGAGGCCAAGTCGATTTCTGCAGACCTGTGTAGCTATTCAGCTCATGGTTAGCAAGTGCAAACTACTGAGAACCTCAGCTGACTTGTAGAGTTCTCAAACCCATGTCCTGACATCCCAACACCCACTGCACCAGTGCCATGGGCAAACTCTCACGACCTGTTTACAGCAACACTTGGGAAAAACTGAAAGAGAAACAAGTGAGTTTAAAACACAACTTTGAGACATTACCTCTCTTATGTCTTCGTTGCCTTCTTTGATATTCTCCGTTGCACCCACAACTAATTGATGGATATTGTCAATATCAGTTTCCTGTTCAAAAAAGAAATAAAATCAAGAAACAGTGATGAGTGTGAGAGGGAAAAAACACATCCAAGGGCTTGGGGAACAAGCAGAGCTCAAAAATAAAATAAGATCTAGTATTACTAACATCATTTTTTTCAATGATGCAAAGGTATAGAGAAATGCAATTACAATTCAGTTGTAATTTCTTTACCTGTGATTTTATGAGTGTGAACAGAGACCACTCAGATCAATAGCAAGTCTCCCATTTACCTAGGATCAAATCTAACCTGTCTGTTTTTTCCCAGCTCTTTTAGAAGAGGTGCCACCACTTCCAGAAAAGATGCTATTAAATAACACACTTAACAGGACATCAGTTCTGAGGCAGAGGCATCATTCTAACACATAGAAAATGCAACTTACTCCCAGTGTGTACTAATAAGTAACAACAGCAAATGCCTTGATTTTGCATTTGAAAAACAAAACCCTTTTTCTTCATATCTCTGTCAAAGACTCATTAAGCTTATGTTTACACCTTGCATGCAACCAAGACCAAAATACCCCCAGGAAAATCTTCAAGCTGTATTTGTTAGTGTAGCATTAAATTATACTAACCTGTTGCAAGACTTTTTCAGTGAATATCTCTTGTAATCTGGAGATTTCCACCACTTTTCCTTCAATTTGCCTTGGCAAAGAAAGGAAATATTCCATTAGAAACTAGTGCAAACATTTCTTGGTACTGCAGATTCAGACTCTCCAGCCTGGTAAGCAGCTGTTAGGTGGCTGCTGCTTTGTCAGCTGTCTGGGAGGCAGCAATAGCCTGTGATCAGGCAGAAATAGCTTGGACAGTTCCTGGCTGGAAGACACCAGCCCACTGGGAAGCCCTGGGAAAGGCACCTGGCAGTGTGGTGAGAGCAGCCTTCACTCCCAGGGTTTCACTTTCATCTCATACAACAACATCTATGGTGGGCCCTAAGTAGTTGATTGTGACATGTCCTTTTTTCTGTGCTATTATGGTGCATGGAATTCACCTTGCCTAGGACTAACAATCCCAAAGTCAGTTTCTAGCTTGAGTAGCCATTTGGGTCTTGTGCACAGCAAGGGAGAGTGAATGGCACAGTCACTACACTACAGACAGGTCTCTGCACAGGGTCAGCAGTGGCACCTTCCCTACTGCTCTCTGTATATGCAGTGGAGAATGGAATATGAATGGAAAACTTAATATTTTAAAACTTTAAAAAAGGAGAATGCAAACCTTCCAAATTTAACCAGTACTATTCCAGATAGTTTGTGTGACCCTCAAAATCATTCTTTACACTGTATATTCTTCATACTGCACAGTTCCTTTCCTGGGTGCTCCTGTGTTCTCCCACCTCCCCTCACACCACTACAGCTGGTGCAGGCAGGTGTCCTGCACCCAACACACTGCACATGGGTGTTCACTGGGCCATGGGACCAGTATGTGCCACAGTCTGTCAAGCAACAGGAAATCATACCTGACTTCATCGAAGAGATTGTTCATCTCACCAACAAGTCTCTGGTTCTCCTGTTCAAACTGGAAAAAGGGGAGAAGGAAATGACACACATGAGTTCACATTCTCAGACTCAGGGAGCTTTCTTCAACTCCCACCCTGATCAACCAACTCTTACCCTTCCTAGCCATCCATTACAGTATGTCTCAAACCATTTTGAAGTTACCCAAGTTACTTTGCAGTAAGGAAGAATATAGCGGATAAATCTGTCCTTTTTTTATTTTTTTAAAAATCTGAGTGGAGAAAGCTTTCATGCTTGTGAGAGCACATGATTCTCTTCATGCTGTCATTACACTGTCATTCACACTCATGTACTGCCTGTGGCATGAATTTTAGGAGCTTCTAGATTTTGCTGCAATATGAAATCCTTTGACATCTAATACTTCATACTTCACAAATGCACTGGCTTTAGTTATGAAACATTTAACTATATTGCTAGCACTACATTTGTCAAATATGGGCACAAATGGAAGGCTTTATAGAGGAAAATAAGCTTTGACTTTTCAGGTGTACCTGCCCTGTCAGATAATTTGGGATTCATTACAGAACAAGTGATCACGCAGCAAGTACAAAGCTGAAACAAAATCTGCACAGCCAAAACAGAACAGAGAAGGTATTCCATGTCACAGTGGAGCTTGCTGGAAACTGCACAGTGAGGGCTGTGTTTTGGCATTAGGACAGACAGAGCTGGGATTTTCTTGTCAAGGTGTCTGCATGAGTTTGGTCCTGGGCCCTGGCAGCAGCGACAGCTGGCTGGAAGCTGAGGAGGCCTGCAGACTGTGCTTCCTGCCCCAAAGCTGCTCTCAGAGCTCTGCAGCTCCCTGTCCATCAGGGACAGCACAGCACTTCCCATTGGAAGGGTCACAGGCCCATTTTGGAGGGGGAGGGGAAGCTTAGTCAAGGTACTCTAACAATTTTCCAAGGCCAAAGCCTCAGTAACAGCTGGATCATTGTGATATGGACACCACCAACCAGGTCAGCACACCTCTCTCACAAGGCTGGGAAAGACCTGGTCTATGCAGTTATCCAGAAACAGCACGCAGGATACACATTTCTGCTGGAAACATTCTGTGCTCAGGGCCCCTCCTAAAGCCCAGTGATCCAGGCTGCAGTGTGAGTGCCAGACACTGGGGTTCAGCATGCAAAGAACTGGACACTGGAGGTGTGCAAGACACTGACCCCTGTTCTAGTTCAGTTAACCTCCCTATTTTCAGCCTACATAACACACTGGGACTTTGGCATAATTCAATCACCTTGCAGTTTCATTAGCAATAAAAGTGCAGCAGCATTCTCAGCTACCTGGCAAGGACTTGTTATTCTTCTCAAGGCACAGCAGAGTGTTGTCAAAGATGGAAACACCAACAGCTTACAGCTCCGACCTGGTTTTCAGTTGGCACAATAGGAATTGCTCACTAGCTGAACATGTGCCCAACACTTAAACTGACAAGAAAAGGAATTATTGCCTAACGACAGTAACAATTTGAAAAAAACTGTTTTCCTGGGCAAAATGTAGAAGGAAGGAGGGGGAAAAGGTCTGAATCCCAAAGCACTGTGGTAACAGCAAAGGTTGTGTTAGAACAGTGAAAGGCAAATGGATGTTTTGCTTTCAGAGCAGAGATACTGAAACAGCTGAAAATGAAGCACTTGGTATTTCAAAGCAGTTTAAACAACAACACAGTACGGAGCAAAACGAAATACGAAATGAGTGGTTGTAACATGCCAGAGCTGGTCTGTAGCAGTATGTACATGGCCATACTGGTGAGGTCTTTGGATCCCCACTGTGCTCCCCACCCTGCCCTAATCCAGCCACCAGCATCTCTTTCCCAGGTCTTCTTAAGATCTTCCTTATACAGCTTGTGCTACATCTCATGTGCATTGCTTCAGGGCATCCCCTGAAATGGTCCAGAATGTTCCAGCTGAAACTTCTGCCATATCAAATACTAAGACAGAGAAGAATGAGGTGTGTGTACTACTGAGGGTGCAGCCACTGAGGAACATGTTCTGCTCCTCTTTCTCCCCACGTTCGTAGTCCCAAGCAAGTGCTGCTGTTTGTTTGCTTTCACAGTATGACATTTTAGCTCACTAATCACCTTTTCCTCCTGAGTTTTCTGGTAGATGAGTAAACTGAATCCCACCACCAGACGAGACAGGGTAGGCTTACGGGAGAGTGGAGAGCAGGAGCTCTCCAAGGCTTGTGCACTGTCACAGAGCAACCCAGAAAAGCAAGAAACTGAGAAAAGACAAGGCACCTTTCACAGCCTTCACCTTCACTCCCCCCTTCCACACCCTACACCATTGCCATTGTCCCCCACACTTTGTGCTGTAGCTTTTGGTTTTTTGCTTCAGGCCCATCAGGGCCTCAGAAGAACTGTACCTGACTGTCTGTGAGCAGGATATTAAATGTCAACCTGCATGACTTAGGAGGAAGTTGTTACTGTGAAAAATCAGAAATTTGTAGGTTTAATCTCACAGAAATGAGTGTGAAATGACAGTTATGTGTTTGAAGAAGGGGAACAGTGAATCTCACAGAAAAGGATTTAGTCTTCTGACATAGGCAATTTATGTTTTGAAGAATAAAGAAAAAATACTTTTTCTTTCTTTTAGCATATAGATTTCTTTTTGTACTAGAGGTTCACTGTCTACGTGATTGGCATGAACAGCTTTCTCTCCTTGGGTAAAAGATTCCAGAGGAAGGTTATTGGGCACTGTCACCTTCACTGTAAGGCAGAGGCCTCAGGGAAGTCACCCAGCCCCATGAGCTGGGGGAACAGAGAGGAACATACTGCACAGTTCCCTGAAATTCCATTAATTTCCACTCTAAAGATCCAATGGTTTTGTTAAATAAGAAAATAGGAGCGTTGCAATACACTGCTGTCTGCAGTGACTCCTACAGAGCAGAGCATTTGTTACAATCTAACTGCCTGAAATACAGTGATATTTACTTCACAGTGGCAGATGGCTAAAGTTGTTTCATCACTGCAATCCTTTACATTCACACCACTGTACATCTGGTTTTGGCAGAGTCACCTCACAATAAAGCCAAGGAACAAAAGCAATGCAATAGAGCCATGAGATTTAGTGCCACAATGACTGGTTGGTCCTTAAGTGACTAAGTGGGGCCACCAAGCTATAATTGTTTTCCTGACTTCTCTAAGGATAAGTATTTCTGCACTCAGAAATGGCCTATATTTTGCTGCCTTAGTAAAACTGAGATGGTAACTAATTCAGAAGACAAATTTTCAATAAAGAAACAGTGAATGATTTTAATCCCTTACAAATAGCATAAATCCACTTGAGAAAGTATTCTTTTAAAAAGTCCCTTTGATTCTTAAAACCCTCTACTGGCATGGATTGCCTTTTAAACTGCTAAATGATCTTTGCAATTCGAAGCCATGGCTGATGGAGCTCTTGGCTCAGACAGCAGTTAAGATATGCTAAAACAGTCAACTGAACAAAGGGTTAGAGCACAGAACACATCATACGCCAGTGTGTCACAAAGGGATTTACATGATGGGAGCTCTAGCCATCAGTATAGCTCAACGATTTATGGCTTATTAAAGTAGCCTCTTTTATGACAGGGAAATACTCTGTTACCCAAGTATGGCATAAAGTGACAAACTGCTTAACATATGGCTAAAAATCTAATGCATAAGAGAAATAATCACTGCTCCTTCCTGTTACCCCATGAGAGAAGTCATTAGATGTGCTGAATTTAAGACAAAACCAACCAAACAAAAAAGATTAATCAGAGACAAGTAGGTATTTTCACAACTCTAAACAGCAGAGCCAGATACTTCCCCACTCAATGCAACCACAAGACATCTGCTCACAATATCTGTAAAACCCATTAATATAACCTGTACTCAGAATTACCAACTGAAATTTATTGTGCAAATCATGCAATAGCCAGCAAACATTTTGAACCATGTCAAGCTCTCTCCTGTGGGTAAAATACTGCTAGAAATTGCTGCTGTAGCAACAGAATAGGGCTTTAATTCATTATTTTATCTGCAGGAAGGATCATGGAACCATGATTGAGATTTTTTAAGTATGATTTGTCACAACACATCCCAATTTTAAACCAATACAGCAGCTTATACACTCTTACCTAACCTCTTGATAGAATTGTTCAGGTTGGAAAAGTCGTTTGAGATCAGCAAGTCCAACCATTAACCCAGCACTGCCAAGTCCACCACTAAGCCATGTCCTTATGTGCCATGTCTATACATCTTTTAAATCCATCCAGGCATAGTGGCTCTACCCCTTTCCTGGGCAGCCCTTTCAGCAAAGAAATTTTTCCTAATATCCAATCTAAACCTCCCCTGGGGCAACTTGAGGCCATTTCCTCTTGTCCTGTCATTTGTTACCTGGGAGAAGAGACCAACCCCCACCCAGCTACAACCTCCTCTGGGCAGTTGGAGAGAGTGGTAAGGTCCCTCCTGGGCCTCCTTTTCTCCAAGGTAAACACCCCCAGCTCCTTCAGCCACTCCTTATAACACTTGTGCTCCAGACCCTTCACCAGCAATATTGCCCTTCTCTGGCTATCCATCCAGTTTTTTACCCAGCCAACAATGCACCTGTCCAAGCTGTGGGCTGCCAGCTTCCCCAGGAGAATGCTGTGAGAGACAGTACCGAAGGCTTTATTGAAGCCCAGGTAGACAACACTCACAGCGTTTCCCTCTTTCCCCCATGCACTAAGCAGGTCACCTTTTCATAGACGGCTTGGTCAAGCAGGACCTGCCTTTCATGACCTGATCCCCTGGTATGTGCTGTGTGATGTCACTCAAGATGATCTGCTCCATGACCTTCCTCAGGCTGACAGGGCTGTGGTTCCCTGGGTCCTCCTTCTGGCCCTTCTTTTAGATCATTCATCTGGGACCCCCACCCTGGCCAGCCAGGACTGCTGGTAAACAATGGAAAGTGTCTTGGTGAGCACTTCTGCCAGCATCCCTGGTATGCTTGGGCATATCCAGCCCTGTGCGCTTGTGCAGGTCTCAGTGGTGTAGCAGGTCACTGACCACTTCCCCTTGGATTATGGGGGCTTCATTCTGCTCCCTCTCCCTGTCTTCCAGCTCAAGGGGCAGAACAACTGACCTTACTATTAAATATTAAAGACTGAGGCAAAGAAGGCATTAGGTACCTCAGCCTTGTCCTCAGTCCTTGTCACTAGGTTTCCCCCTGCATCCAGTAAAGGATGGAGATTGTCCTTAACCCTCCTTTTGTTGCCAATGTCTTTATAAAAACATTTTTTTATTGCCTTCTACAGCAGTAGCAAGATCTAAGTTCTGGTTGGGCTCTGGCCCTTCTAATTTCTTCCCCTGAGTAACTTCGTAACCTCTCCCTGCATAATCTGCAAAACCTGAAGTATTTATGTGAGCAACAAAAAAGCAATGCACATTCAAATGCTCAAATTATATCCTAGTTATACCTATATTTACACCTCGGATACAGATTTACATGAAAATTAGAATAACAGATCCAGTAACTTTAAGGTATGTTAGGAGTGAAACTATACAGAGTCCAAATTTTACTAATAAAGACCAACTCTTAGCTATACATTTCCTCAAAAAGGCAATGAAAGAGCAGTTTTGCTGTAGACTAGTCACTACATACATTCCTAGGGTTTGTAAATTAGCTAATTAGAGTGTTCTTAAAATACAAAAAAACAACAACCCTAAGGGAAAAAATAATCACATTAGGTCCAAAGAACAGAACGATGGTTTGCTCAGCTCTGAGCATCTCCATCTGAGCATCTGCCACGTACTATAGCAACTTTTACATCTGAAAGTCTGCTGTGCACATATACATATTACAGAAATATACAACTCTCTGTTTACAGTTTGACAACTCCAATAATATGCAATCAAATCCAACAGTAAAAAAATTATCTGAGAAGAAATGACCCTCCTTGGGGAGGGCTGTTCTAGTGAGAGGAAGGTGTTCTAGTGGCACCTTCCCTTCGTATGCTCTTTTCAATTCTAGTTTTCTATCAGTACTAAACCCCAAGTAAAGAGTGTACATAATAAAAATAAATCTTAAGTGCACATTCACACATGAAAATTTAAGAATAAACTATGGCACAAGAGCTGTAACAATATTTCAGTGTATTTATATATCTATCTCTATATCTATTTCTATCTGTCTATATATATGACTTGAAAGTATGTTATTTTTATTTTGGTAGCATTTTGATCTTCTGCTTCTCTCAACAGACTAGTAAATTTGTCTCTCCCACAAAGCAGACTGATAAATTTAAAGCTATGATCTGAAATTTCCAGCACAAGTCATTTCTCTAGGCTTAATCATGGCATTGACATCAAGGCACTGTTATATACTATAAATTATCTTGCAAACCATAGGCAGAACTGTGTAAGCTAAGAGTAAGGAAATATTAGTCTGTCTGAACTAAAACTTTTTCTAATTTAGAGCAGTGTTATTTTTATACCCCTCCTTAAAGCACAACAGATGAAATCAGTGTAAAACCAGTAAAATTTTAAAAAGTATGTAATAATAAAAAAGCAGGAGAGCTAAAAGGAGAGCTCTGCATGGGTAAAGAATAATAACAGATTTTTTAAAAAAAAAAGTGTCTTGGTTCTCCCCTAGGAAGAACTGTCCAAATGCCTAATAATCAGTTTAGGATTGAAGATTTAAGAGTCCAGAAATCCTTCAAAGCATTAAACTACGAACACAGATTTTTCCCTTATCTCGGGCCTTACTCTGAAAAAGGATAAAGGTATGATAGGATTTCATGAAAAAGAAATGTCTTTATTCCCAAAGCACCATGACAAGGGATGTAACATGCTTAAAACTTAATTACAGCGTGAGGCTATGAAAGGTAACCCCCATTTAGCAGCCAGTCAGGAGGCCCAGTCAGAACCATCACCTCTGACTCCTGTTTCCCCCTGTTCCTCTAGAAGATTACAGCAAGGAGGGTAAGAAAATTGTGCCTGAAGACAGGAGAATGAAAATACGTCAAGAATTCTTCCTATGAAGAAAACAGAAACCAGGAGTAATAAGCTTTTACACTGGCACTCAAGAACACTGTGAGAGCACACAGAGCAGCCTCTGAAGAACCTTTTCTCTTTAGCAAACCATACCATAATTACGTGCAACTTACTCATCTCTGACGTGAAGAGTGATGCATATTGTGTCTGGAAACATCTCTAACCCATGCCAAGGAAGCTTCATGTCCTCATACTGCAGCAGCACTTTGCCTTAGTAAAGCTCAGGGGTTTGAAATCTGCACAGCTACTGCCTGGAATCACATTTTCTTTCTTTATATAAACCCAAGGCAACATGTATTGATGTACAGAGGTTTTCCAAGCATTCTGAGCTATGTTCAAAATCATAAATTTTAGGAATATCAAGAAACCTGGCAGGTTGTCAGCAATCATGCCTATGTCAGATAATTCTATTGCAACAGCTCAACTGTAAGCAGATTTGGATCAAACAATACACAAACACACCAATAATGTGGAAATGCAGAAGAGTTAAAATTCATGAGATCCTGTTGTGACAGAAAGCTTGCAGCTATTCATAGAATCATAGAATTTCAGGGGTTGGAATGGACCTTATAGATTATCTAGTCCCAACCCCCTGCCCTGGGCAGGGACACCTCCCACCAGAGCAGGTTGCTCAAGGCTCATCCAACCTGGCTGTGAACACTGCCAGGGTCGGGGCAGCCACAGCCTCCCTGGGCAACCTGTGCCAGTGTCTCACCACCCTCACAGGAAAAACTTCTTCCTAATAGGTAACCTAAATTTCCCCTCTTTTGATTTATACCCATTGCTCCTTGTCCTGTCACTGCAGCTCCTAATAAAGAATCCCTCTCTGGCTTCCCTGTAGGCCCTTCAGATTCCGGAAGATGCTATGAGGTCTCCATACGACCTTCTCTTCTAGGAAACCAATCTGATTTTGATTCAAAAAAATAAAAAGGAAGTATAACTTCATAGTTATAACTACACAGTTATACTTCAGTAGTACAGCTATTTAAGTTGTGTTCTAGAACTAGTCCAGGAAAAAAAGAGCCAACCCTGTATTCTTTCAGAAATTTCCTCACGCTTCTTCTGATGTTGCCTTGACTTCTATTGCTTCCTGACTAAAAAACCAAAGGCAATTAATAACTGCAATTTTAAAAAACAATTTTAATTTCAATTGTTGAAAAACAGTTGTTACTAATTTAATGGCTCGATGTAAGTATTTCGTAGCAATTTTAAATACTAGCTGCTACCAGAAGAACCAGGCAGCCACATGCAAAATGTGTAACTTGTTCTGGCATTATTCTGCATAAAATCAATGTTAAAAATTGACTTGGGTGAATCTTTTTTTAACATGTATGAATAGAGCAGAAAATCCAATAAATGGACAATAAGACACAAGATAAACTTACCATCTGTATTTCTTCAGGTGACAGCTCATCTTCACCTTTGCCATCCCCCCATAGTCCAAGGTTACTTTGGGTATCAGGCAGATTCCTGTCTGTAAAAGAACCACCAAACACTTGAGACAATATGGGACACTGAATAGGAAAGTGAAAATCATTTTTTATCCATTTTACACTGCTGATTAAATTGTACTCTCTCCTTTGTAATTAACTGAGATTCACCCTATATTTACAGCACAAAATTACACCAATAACCTTTGGGTTCCAAACTGGGAAGTTGTGGTGGTTTAACCTCAGGTAGCAACCCAGAACCACACAGCCACTCACACACTCCCCCACCCATGGGATGGGGGAGAGAATCAGAAGGGTGAAAGCTAGAAAAACTCATGGGTCAACATAAAGGCAGTTTAATAGAGAAAGCAAAAGCTGCACACACAAGCAAAGCAAAACAAGGAATTAATTCACTGCTTCCCATGGGCAGGAGGTGTTTATCCATCTCCAGGAGAGCAGGGAGCATCACACGTAATGGTTCCTTGGGAAGACAAATGCCATCACTCCAGATGTCCCCCCTTCCTCCTTCTCCCTCCCAGGTTATAAACTGAGCATGTTGTCCTATGGTATGGAATATCCCTTTGGTCAGTTTGGGTCACCTGTCCCAGCTGTGTCTCCTCCCAATCTCCCATGCACTCCCAACTTCCTCACCCGTATGGGAAGCAGCAAAGGCCGTGGCTCTGTGTGAGCGCTGCTCAGCAACAACAAACACATCTCTGCATTATCAACCCTGTGTCCTTCACAGATCCTAAACATAGGCCCATATTAGCCACTGTGAAGAAAGTTAACACCACTTCAGTCCAGACTAGCACAGAAGTCTACACACACTTAATTTTGTGAACTACAATGAGTTTCACTAACATACTGACAGAGAAGGATGTAAAACAACTCACAATTCACTAAGCCCTTTTAGGGCAGCAAATACTGTCGCATTTGTCTTTTCATAGAAGAAAATACACAATTTTCAAAATGACATTCTATATGCAAACTATTATCTTCCAATGAGACTTGGCAGAACCACCAGCCCCTAAGTCCCAAAAGTAAAAACAGAATCTCAAAGATGTTTTAAGCAAAGTCCACAAACTCCATTTCCTCACAGTGTTCAAACTCCCTATTACAGTGCAAATCCCACAGTACACTGTGCCAGGGTCTTCCTGCATAGAACAGGAATCAGCTCTGATCCTGCAAATTAACCATAGCACATCAAAGCTGCTTCATTCATTTCAGTAGTGCTTCCCCTTTGATTAAAGCTAATCTGCATAAATCTTTGCAAGAATCAAGGATAAAAGATCTTGAATGGCTATTTCTGGAATATTCCCTTCTGTAAGATTTAATTTTAGGCTTAATTATATACTTCTGATTGTAGATGAAGAAGTGAGACTGGGAAAGAAAAGAAACCATGCTACAGGAATCTGCTGTTTCTGAAGCTGTTCTAGCATCAGTGTTTGAAAACCTCATGATAAGACTGCACCCTTGAGAGAGCCTCTCTTCTCCCCACTGTCTGTGACACCTTTACAAAGCCCAAAAGAGAATTGCACCATACCACAATGGATCAATGCTGAACCTGCTTTGACTTATCACATGCAGGTTGCAAATTAAAATACAGAAAGAGGTCGTTTTTAATTTTCCATACATTTAGACTTCCTATTATCCTATTTATTTTATTTTGAGAGTCAGATTAGATGTTAGGAAAACAAAGACATGAAAAGGGTTATAAGGAGAAGTTTTCCACTTTATCCTTCACAAGAGCATTTGTGAAAACTCTTGAAAAATAAATATTGTAGGAGAGTATTGATGTATGTGTCTCCCTTATGGTGTTTTTCTTTTGCTTTCCAACAACCAAACCAGGATGCACAAACCATGACAGTGTTACAAATGAGGAATGTGGATACGGAATACAAATTTTTTTAAAAATAAAACCCCTAAATAGATCAGTTCTTTCTTAGGAGTAATAAGAAATAAACCCAAGAATATCTTCAAGGATTGTTTAGAAAGTATTCAACTCTTTTTCTTCTATGTGGTATCATCAGTATTTCCAGCCTATTTCACAGAAACACAGAAGTTATTTGCTTAGGTAATCAATATATCAAAATTATAATTAATTATTTACCTCATTCAAAGCAAATAAGACAAATAGTTTATGGAGCCCCTCAAAAAAAAGAAGATATATTCCTATTTTATCCCAGAGGAACCAATTACTTTCAGGCACTGCCAGCAGTATTAAAAAACCAGCACCTGTATCCAGTGTGATTGCTAATGAGCAAACATATTTATGGTAAGAGGTAAGCAAGAAACATGTATCTCCCCAGGGTTCCCCCTGTCACTGCAGGATGTTTCAGCCTTTCTGCAGCTTTCATGGAGCTGACATTAATGCTTTTCTGCAATTCAGCCAGCAAAAGCCTAACTACACTTCTGTTCCAGGAAGAGAAGGTAGTTAACTCATGACAGAGACACAAAGTAATGATCAAATCCTCTGAAACCTTTTCCATGCCATGAAAAGCAGACAGCTGCTAAGCTTGTGGACCAGTTCAAAAGCTACCCATTATTTACATTTATTTCCATAAACTAAATGTCAGATTTGTAATATGCAAATAAATACTGCCAACAGATAAAAGCAATCTCCAGAGAGACTATTTTCCTCGCGTGAGGCATGTCCAGTACAATTCTACTGTAAACAGGTGCTTTGCCTCAAAACAAAAGTAATTTTGTTTTGGTTTCTGCCAAAAAAACCCAGACAAAACCAGTCTGTGCTTCAGCACACCAAGCAGGACACTCAGCTGCTCATCAGAGTGTTCAAATTAAGGACAGGGGCACAAGCTGCTCTCAGAAGTATCTTTACAGACGATGCATGATGCTGCTGATGGCTAATTCATACAGACAAATGATCACCATTCTCTAAACCACCAACACACTCCAGATGAATTAGTTTATTTCTAAATATGATAATCTCTCCAGTTTCTTAAAAATTCAAAAAGTTACTTGGAAAAAACCAATACAAATCAAAGGCTGTAAGATTTAAACTGAGCTTCTTGTTTCCTAGTTCATGTTATTTTCATGCTTCAACAACCACCTACCAGCAGAGTCACAAGGCTGATTTCTATAAGCAGCAGCAACCAGCACTAACTCTCATGTGAGGAATCACAGGCTGTGAGCATTTACAAACTGTTTCAGACTTATTTTCATGTACAAGTCCCATAGTTTTCTCAAAGTCTAGTCAGAAATCCCTCATGAATTGTGCTGGTTTGGGCTGGAGTTAACTTTCTTCACAGTGGCTAGGATGGGGCTATGTTTAGGATTTGTGCAGGGCACAGAATTGATAACGTAGAGATGTTTTTGTTGTTGCTGAGCAGAGCTCACACAGAGCCAAGGCCTTTGCTGCTTCCCATACTGCCACACGGGTGAGGAAGCTGGGGGTGCATGGGAGACTGGGAGGAGACACAGCTGGGACAGGTGACCCAAACTGACCAAAGGGATATTCTATACCATAGGACAACATGCTCAGTTTATAACCTGGGAGGAAGAAGGAGGAAGGGGGGACATCTGGAGTGATGGTGTTTGTCTTCCCAAGGCACCGTTATGCGTGATGGGCCCTGCTCTCCTGGAGATGGATAAACACCTCCTGCCTGTGGGAAGCTGTGAATTAATTCCTTGTTTTGCTTTGCTTGTGTGTACAGCTTTTGTGTTCTCTATTAAACTGTCTTTATCTCAACCCATGAGATTTTGTAGCTTTTACCCTTCTGATTCTCTCCCCCATCCCGTTGGTGAGGGAGTGTGTGAGCAGCAGGATGGTGTTTTGTTGCTAGCTGGGGTTAGACCATGACATGAGTACTGCACCAGCATTACTTACGTGGCATGATCCCGACTTACGAAAATTAAAGCACAAACTAACAAAAGTAAAACCTGGAGTGATTAAAATTAACATGCAATTAAAAAAAAACTTCACTTTTATTTACTGCAGTGGTTTGCTGTGTCCAAGGCAACCAAAGAACAGTATTTCCCACAGTGTGGTGCAGATTTTTGGACCTAAAAATTGTAATGACACTATGTGGTAGGAGTGCACACTTCCAGAGCTTGCAGGGATAGTTGGTGACAAGCAAAGAGCACAGGGCAATGAAGATGCTGCTATGCTGCTGCTTCTCTGGTGGCACTAGCTCACAGCTGCAAAAGATTGATAACGTGTTACGGTGAAACTCATCTCTGCCCCTGTGTGTGCTGCATCACTCAGTATGTATTATAAAAAGGTATATAGTAAGCACTAGAAACGACACACAATCAAAACCTGTACTTCTTACAATAAATTCAGTGGCAGGGAGGGAAGAAAGGCACACTGATATGGTTGCACATGTACAAACTGGTTAGGAAGATAAGCAATGTCATATGAGAAAATGAAACTGTTTGCACAGTGTGAGGTAATTCAGCATCAGAGTCTTCACCCAGATGTGGAGTACCCACTCCACATGAGTCCACTGTCTGTATGGCCCTAGAGTCTTCAAGCAGAGGAACCTCACTCTTTTAATGAAAACCACTAAAGAAACAACAGAAAAATGTGGCCAAACAGTGTATTTGTTCTATCTTGATGAGGTATTACCTCAAGGTATTGTAATTTTTAAAAATCAATTTCCTGCTGCAAACCACAGGGTAGCTTGGTCTCCTCTAGACAGCACAAGTGGAAAAACTCAAGCCCGGGAAAGCAAATCCAGAACCACTGAAACAAGATTTCTTTTTAGGCACGAAATGTGAAATTATCTGCCCAGTGATGGCATTCCACAAGGCACTCTGCAGCAAAGCTCTGCTGGCACACACCCCCCAGGACAGGCTGAAATGGCAGAGAGAAGGGACTTAGATCCTTTGGCTCAGAAAGCCACCAAGAAATCAGAACCAATGTTCACAAGTCCTGCCAACAACAGCACCATCTGAAATGACCCCAGGGTCAGAGATATTGCTTTGGACTTCTGGCTATCTCCCAACCACTGAAAGATGAGATGCAACCCTCACAGCAGGGAAACTCAGTGCTATGGAGAAGAAATCCCCAAAACTACTGGACCTGGGCACCCAGGAACCTCTGTGAGCATATTGTACTTCTGAGTTCCTGTTGTAGAAGTGTCAAATTCAAGGTCTCTGTGCTTATGAACCCAGAAAGTCACTGACCTACTTTCTAATTCCTTGACAAGAGTGAAACGAATGTAGAAAAACAAGACAAATTTCAGCAGTTGTTATATTGGTAAAAATAAAAAGGCAAGGGTTCGCACAGAGTTTATTAAGAGGAGGAGGAATTCAGCAAACTATAAGATTTGTTTATCTGGCATGTCAAAAAATTTAAGATTTTGCTTCCTCAGTCTCACATAGTGCTTCACAAAGGCCTCATCAGCTCCAGAAAGACAAAAATAAAAAAGGTGCAAGTCACAGCAACTGGTCCTTGTAATGTGAGCAAAGTACCCCTGACCAGACAGGCCTTGCCACGAAAGGTAAAATACAACTACTTTTTATTCTTACCTTTGCTTTCCTCAGCAGAAAGCTTTTCTTCAGAATCATCTGGAGGATTCTGTGAAGATTTTTCAGGGGAAAGAGGTGATTTGGACACATTGCTCTGCTCAGGTTCGAGTCTGGACCTAGAAGCACAAGAGCCTATAATTTAACTGACGCTATACAGATGAATTTCCCTAAAATAAGAACAACCACAGAATACTAATTTGACTCTTTAACTCTTGCAAACTTCACAATAAAGATTTCCCAGTCAAGATACAAAACTTTGCAACTTTTACTGAAATATTAATACAAAGGCAAAGGAAGCACAAATAGTATTCCTGAATAAAAAAACCACACACTCAAAGCTGAGGAGAATTTTGAAAGCTACAGCGTAAAACCACAGACATGTTATTAAACCCCCTTTCAAAAACTCAGTGTATTAAAATAAGTATTTTTTAAAAGCCATTTTGGTCATACTGAAAAATTCTTTTTAGTAGCAATGGCTAACACCACTTCCTTTTTATTTTTTAAAGTAATAACTACAATTTAACTTTATATTTTCAATTAGTGTAAATGAAAATTAAGAAAATACAATAGAATTAGCTTTTTTTATGCTACATCCAAATCCCTGCTATGTAATTTTAATACAAAGGCAAGGCAAAACATGAAAGGCACATTCAGGGATTATATATAAAGCACTTGTCAAGTGTGTTTCAGTGTGGCACCAAAAAATGTTAAAAATTAGTGGCAACCAACTTGTTTTCCAGTAAACTTCTGTGGTTTATTGCTGTCTGCAATGAATTCTCCAACTGCTGCATAGCAGACAAGTTATATGCTTTGCAATTATGCTCCTGAAGGAGCTAAAGAACAAAAGAAAAAATCATAAAGCAATGGGCTGAATCACCTGCTGTGCCACTTTCATCACTTCCTCCTCTCTCATATATAATCAACAGTTAATCTCATTACGATCTGCAGTTCCCACCCTGTGCCTAACAGAAGGTGTTGCATTTTTGTCCCTTTCCTTCTTTGCATTGTGTCTAAATTCTAACCCATAATTAGAAAATTCTGAGCAAAACAGAATATAATGCATTAGTCATCACTGAGTGACTATGTTATTTAACAAGAGAAGACAGTAACAGGGCACCTTTCTTAGTTATAAAACCTCTGCAAGTACTGGCTCTTAGTAATTTTACAAAGAACTCCTCTTCTTCTCTCACCTCCTCCCTCTCAAGTCCCAAATTTGCCTAATAATAAAGAAAAAATACTCATCTAGATGTTTATGCAGTTCAAATAATAGTTCTGATACAAATAAAACACCAATTCCCCAGGTAACAAAAACATGAGCTTGATTGGAATAATTGCATACTAATTCACAAAATATTCTAATGGGAAAAGAAGTATAAAATCGAAATGAAATCTAATTTTGAAACCAATAAACATAAAAATTGAAAACCACAACCAAGTATCTTTACAATAAAAACTGCTTGTGCTTATTTCTCAGCTTTTCTTTCTGGGGAACTAGTCCTGACTGGCAGAACTTTTTAATCAAAAAATGAAATAATACTTATAGGCAAGTTCTGTAAGAAAATAATAACACTCAGGCAATTTGCTGAACAGCTTAGAATGGTGGTTATCAATATAAAAGAAAACGTGATGAAATATATTTCTCCTGCAAACTTTTCAGTATTGTCTCATACTCATGTATTTTCAATTGACTAAACTACAGGAAAGAAGAGCTGCACTAGGATTAATTTACTTCTAAAGGAAAGTATTCCTTTATTGTTTGTTGTCCTTCCTTTGCACACTATGCTAATGGAGGAAACTTCCAACTGAAAACAAACCAAGTGTCTGGGATGTGTTGTTTAAAGAATGCCTAGTTCTTTTAAGTGAAGGCACACATTCTTCTCACATCAAGTGTCTGCTGAAATCCTTGGGGAAATTACAAATCAACTATACAATTTTTCTTCAAGTCTTCATAAAGACTGATTTATGCTCTGTGATTTAATGAAATTGAATTCTAATTTCAATGACAATTTAGCCATTACATCACATCTGCAATAGATACAGACTCCAGCTGGTCAACATCTGCTTTCTAGTTCTTACACCCATAAAGAGTGGCAAAGGGGACTCAGCAGAGAATCACAGAATTTTAGGGGTTGGAATGGACCTTAGAGATCACCTAGTCCCAACCCTCTGCCCTGGGCAGGGACACCTCCCACCAGAGCAGGTTGCTTAGGGCTTCATCCAACCTGGCTGTGAACACTGCCAGGGTTGGGGCAACCCAGGCTGGGAAAGCACCTACTGTTTTTTCTTAATGCCTTATTGCTCTTTAGTTAAGTAGTATTCTGAAACAATGCATTAAATCGAGTTGCTTTCTCTGTTTAGTCATCTGAGAAACCTTGAGCATGGGATTTCACATGTAAACAATAATGTAAGAGTACAACCAACAAAAGAGCTGTTGTTAGCCAGTGCTGTGACTGCAGGGACCATGCTACCTGTCTTTGATGTTCTTTCATGTGAAGAATACTGATAAGGTTATGTATTTTTACATATGAAAAATATCACAGTTTATTTCTGTATGTTTTATTTTCCGAGAAGTTACGTGAGTTACAAAAATACTGATGCCTTACTTCTTACCCAATTCCAGAACTGATTTGGGGATTTTGTTTTCTTGGTTTTGGCTTGTACAACTATTTATGTCTCAGGAGGTTATATTTAAGTGAATCTAATTGTGCTTAATCATGCTGAATCATTCTGAATAAAATGTACTTTATGGACTTTTGAAAACATCTCTCTAGTTTCAATGTAAATAGCTGATCAAGCCAAACACCAAACTGATAAACCAACATCAAGTCTTGGAAAAACCCTCAAGAATTTATTTATTGATGAGCATGTTCTAGAACTTGTTATTTTTGTATAAAAGTATACAGAATGGACCTTGAGGTTAGTATTCAAATAATACAGATTGAGAAGACATGGAAATACCTTCCAGGTAATAAATAAATTGCAAACCTGTTCATTCTCCCTATTGTTCTCCCGACTGGGAGTGTACAGAAAAAGAAACTGAAGTAGTGTGGGGTTTGAAACTTGACTGAAAAGAACCCCACCAGACCACAAAACCAGCAAGCACATGATTCCTAACTTCTAGCCGAGCAGCCTTATTATATACCACCATAGGCAGTGGAAACTCTTTGTTTCAGGTCAGAAGTTACATGCTAGTTTTTTATTTTCATTATGTTTCTACTTGCCATGAACACCAACACCTCAAGTAGTGACAACACAGTCACTTGGCTTTAGCAGAAAGACAGGGGCTTACAAAGAAGGACAAAACGAAAGAGGACTAGAGAGACAATTGACCACCTCTTGTCCCTAAACTGACAGTATTCTACATAGCTACTTTGAGGCAGAAGTTGCTCCTCCAACCACAGAATTCCACTAAAACAACCTCCTTAGAATCTAAACATGAATAACAGTTTTGTCGAATATCCTAGAAATGGAAGGCACAGTTCAACTAGTTTTTGACACTACTCACAGTCTCTTCTTATCTATCACTCGCTTAACTCGGATGGCTCTTTGTTCAGAATACAGTTTGCACACTCCTGTTCAAGACAGCAGTAAACAAAATTTCAGGTTAGAAGAGCAAGATTGCTCTCTTGAAAAATGCAATCACTCATTTTTAACCATTCAATAAATACTAAGTACTTTTTAAGTAATCTTCAATGAAGTCCAAGACAGCTGTTCTGTGCTCCTTTACCTGAGCAGACTGGACACCTTTGTGTGCTGAAATACAAAAGAAAGATGTAAGACAATCTGTTAACTCTTTACTGAATTCTACAACAGTTTGCATTTTCAGCTGATGCACAGGTTATATTCAAAAGCCTATTTACATTTTATGTATGTTATACATTAGTATTTATTTTAAGCATAGTTTATCAATAACTCAGAAAAAACATGTAAGAATTGCTCAGTTTACCTTCTGTTCTCAGCTGCTGAATGGCCTCAGCACACGTTCTCATGAACACCTGAGCATCCTGATCTATCTGGTCACGCTCTGTGTCTGTCATCCTCCCATACTCGGACATGATGTGGCTGAGAAAGAAGCAAACGTGTCACTTCCAAAACCACAAGTAAACATCTTAGACCTTCTTCCTTCCCATTCACCATCTCCACCAGAACTTTTCTGCAACACTGCTTTTCATGAAAAAAGCAGCAAAAAGCACACTATCATTGATAAAAATGTCACTTCTATAAAGCTGAGAGGTTTTTCTTAAAACACTTTTACTAGTCAAGTATGTAGAAAAAACAATATATCCTATCGTCTTGTACATAATCAAATACTGAGCAGAAAGGAGAAAATGGAGAAAATATATCACTACCCTTGGGACTTATTCTGATGAAGCATATTTCAATTCCAAAAACATGAAGAAAAACCAAGATAAAGGAATAGCTCAATAGAAAGAAGTACAGAATGAACTTATATTACTTAAATATGTTTTCATTACACTAGATACTGAGCTTCATTTTTAAAGTAGTTGTACAATGAAATCTGTGAATTCAAATATTAAAGAATACAGGAAAATAATGTACTTTTAATATCAAGTTGATTATAATAATTATTAAAACCTGTTCCCATTGCTTATTTCTATTTTAGAGTACACATTATGCAGCTATTATTTTCTACCAGGATTAATATATCTTTTTGTACCTAAATTAATAAAAATGGAGGCCTGTCCTTAAAATATCAACACACTGTAGATAACCACCAGAAATGCATCCTGTATAAAGGTATTTAGCAGTGTTTCCACAGCCACAGGTGAAAGGATGATAAAACTTTGCTATTGCATCTTATCCTGTGTTCACCTTGGGTTTCCTAATGAAACAGTGATCACAGCCATTATATCTGCTTTTAATAAAGAAAAGAAAACCTTAAATTATACCTTCATATGAATTTAGTATTTCTGTATGTGAAAATTTCCCCAGGTATTAATTAAGTCTATTCATGCAGTAATACAAGTAAAAAGAAAGGATCTTCAGTTTGCAAAGTTAGCCTGATTTCTCCTCATAGAATCATAGAACCAACCAGGCTGGAAGAGACCTCAAAGATCATCAAGTCCAACCCTACTGTGGTTACTAGACTATGGCACTAAGTGCCACATCCAGTCCTGGGTTGAAAACCTCCAGGGGTGGTGAATCCACCACCTCCCTGGGCAGCACATTCCAATGCCTGAGCACTCTCTCTGTAAAAAATCTCTTCCTAATATCCAACCTAACCCTCCCCTGGCAGAGCTTGAGTCTGTGCCCTCTTGTCCTGCTGCTGGTTGCCTGGGAGAAGAGACCAACCCCCACCTGACTGCAACCTCCTGTCAGGGAGTTGCAGAGGGCAATAAGGTCTCCCAAGTTTCTACTTACTGCCTACCTAGTACACAAGCACCAGTTAGCAAAAAACAGTAACACAGACCAATTAGAAGTAATATTCTATATTTTACTTTTTGTTTCCAACACTGCCATGTATTTGACTAAAGCTAGTCTGAATGCCCACTAAATTATTTGTATTCCTTACAGAAAACCAGCCATATAATAGTGTTTCTGAAAACAGACAAGGAATTTGTGGCAAAATCCCTATCAGAGCTGTAATCAGTGATCTTCTAAACTATAACTCTAATCTGCACTTTCTCAGAAAGCAACTTCTGAATGATGAATATGAAACTGCCTGGTTTTAGAAACATCTGATAGAGAGGCTTTCCCCAGCCTGGCTGAGATGGCATATTGACAGTTACACACACAACATAACTGATATTGTTAAATATATTAGGACAGACTTGTCTCCCACTCCCTTTGCACAGCTTGTCTAAATGTGCCTTTCTGTTACTAGTCTGTGGCATAAGCAAGTTCTCAGCACATGTAAAGCCAGAAAATCCATTCCTAGATCCAGCTCTGCACAGGCCCAGACAGAAGGAGACCATGAATATTATCTGGTATGACATAATACATAACATCCTTCAGTGAGCTCCACCCTAAGAGAATTACTTGAGCATGTTAGGGCACAGATTCAGATGGAAAACAGGGATGGAGGAACAGCTTCATGATGGCCCCTTGATGATGCAAAAAGCCTCCACTCTTCTCTTTCAGAGTACAACACAATTATGGCTGCTCTGCTACTGAACAGGATATAAAGTTCTTATCTTTATCTGTCTACATTCTTGTACCTGCCCAGCTTCGTGGTATTTGTTCTATGCTTTCCATGCACTTTTTAACATTACAGGGCAGAATAAAGATTACAAAATGCAAACCAGAATTTTCTTTGAAATCAGACTTTGAAATGTATCTGAAAAAAAACCTGCCTCAGGCACACTTCATATTTTTCTAACAGTGTAACTACTGGTAATGTAGTGATACACTGAGGATAAGTCCAACAGCTTTACACTGGGAAACAAGTTACTTTTTCTAGTTGCTAATACAAAAATAGGGTAGATCAAATTCATAAATAGGAGTTTCACAGCTTCAAAGCTAGCAAAATGCAGCTTAATCTAGTAAACAAGAAATAGAATACTTTTCCTTCTATAACTGCTTACAGCTTACACAGTGTCTGGTACCAGAGCTTTTGAACATGAGCTGGTCAAGTCACTCAGAGGGAAGGATGCCTGAAACCCAACCTCCTTGGGAAGGCAAGAATGGAGCCACACAATCACATCCCATTATGTCAAAACACATATGGCATCCACTAGTACTAACAGGGCACTGAAGTCCCCACTGCACTCCCCACTCAATCTGCACATGGAGATTATACTGAAAATCCATTTAATCACCATCCTCTAACCTTACCGGAACAAGAACCGTTCATTAAAATCAAACAGGCCCAAGAAAAACAAAACCATGTAAAAACTCCAAATAAAAAAACAACTGAACAGGAAAAAAAAAGATCCAGATGTGTCTTGTACGTCAGAGATACAAATACTTGCTCAGAGTGCAGTGGCACTATCGTGGCAATGGAGTGATCTGTGGCTAAATCAAGAAAGGCTGAACAAATCAGGTTTTTCAGAAGCAATCAGAATCATTAGGCAAGACATGCACTAGTTAATGTATGCAGATAAAGCAGAAAAGAAAGTCCTCTGGGTTTTTATCCTAATCAGTATGAGAAAATATCATAAGAAACTTAGGCTAGAAGGCAACTTGGGTTATTTGTGATTTTTATGATGGTGGGTGAAAGGGTATAATGAAGACAGTGACCACTAAGCATTTCATAGCCTAGAAAATTTAGTAGGTTAAATTGTATAGAAAATGGAAACCTAAAAAGAAATAGAAAAGAATTCAGATGAACTAGTAGTTTTCATCTAGAAATTACATTATGGTAATTTGCAATTCTGCCCCGATGAAAAGGAAGAGGAGGCAAAACAGTGAGAGATCAGCTGAGTTAGTTCATGAGCTCTACATTGAGGTCAAACACAAAAAGCAGAATATAGTTTTATTGCTAATGACAATCCTAAAGGAACATAACATGTAGGAACACAATTAAAAAAGGGTCAAGTGCAGATGAGACACAAGTGGTAAGGGATGACAATAACAAGGAGATTGCTCTGCAAACATTACCATGAGAACCACCTAAGAAAATGGTGTTTGTCTGTTAGTAGAGAAATAAAATTATACACAGACTATGATTAAATTCTAAATGTTTATTATTTTTTCTTTTTTTTTGCATTAACTTTCATCACTAAGGTCACTTTAAAGCTGCAGTTACTATTCTCTTTAGCTTACTGCTTCTAAATCATCTGGGCCCAAGTTAGAACCTTCAACATTAAAAAAAAAATCATAATTATTTGTTGCTGTTTTCTCAGGATATAAAATCTCCAGTGAAAGAAATCTTTAAAAGCAAGCAAAACACTAGTCATTCTATCTGGGATGTTTCAGCCATGCTTCTTCCAGGCTAACATTTCTATGATCCTATTTTGCTGGCAAAGCACAAGGAACCAGAGCTGATGGAGGCATTACAACAGCTTTTGGAATTAGTAACTCATTCTGCTGCTGCATAAAATATTTTCTGCTTACTAATTCAATAAAGACACCAAATCAAGTGGAAAAACTTGATTTTCCTCCAACAATGTATTACAAAAGAGAGAGAACCAGTAAGTGGAAATAAATCAGCTCTAAGCCACTGACATGCCCTGGTTTAGTAGGGATGTACCCAACATAACACTTGCAGATATTGCCTTGCACATACATATATAAATGCTCCCAATGAGTGTATAAAGAAATGCACATGTAGGTCTAACCTTAGTTGCAAATACAGCAGACCTTTTTAAACTTCTTCCCTTTGGGCATCTAGTATGTTTTAAATTATCTGATTTCTTCTTTAGCTACTAAATGTAAAGACAATTTATAAAGTATTGTGCATTTTCATTTACTGCTGTTTTCCCTCCAAATGCTGTCGGACAAAAATTCAAGGTAAAACCTTGTCTACTCAAATGACAAAATACTCCACAAGAATTTATTTTAAATGGATTTTCTAAATTCCATGTGGAAGCCTCAGCTGCCAGAACAGGTAGTACAGGAATACCCAAAATAGTATTTTCAGTTTTGTAAAATATTGCTGAGAAATTCCAGAGTGCTACAAAAACAAATTACTATTTCTGAAATGTTGTACATGAACTTAGTGCAACTAAAAAAGACAAGATAAATAATTTGAAAATACTTCCCTGGAGAACAGAAAAAATACTATATATTCCTCCAGGAAGAAAGTTTTTACAGATCATCTACACGTTTTACTAACTCAGAATAACAAAGCCCTGCTTCTTGTAAAAATGTGATGAAGTCAGGACAAGAAAGCAGCCTGGCATTGTACAGGAGGCAGTAAGACACTATTTTTAGAGTCCTTACATGGCTATTTCTTTTCATCTACTGAAAAAGACAAGGAAAGACTCCACAAAACACCATGAAAGCATTCAATGATTTTCTGTTAAGTGGCAAATGATGTAACCCATTTATTGCCTTTACACAGATAAATGCTCACACAGACAAATGCTAAGGCAAGAGACATAATTACTGGGCACCAGCATTATTTTTTAAGACAGAAAAATAACTTGTTAAGAATCTTTTCTAAGTATATTATTTGCAATTAATGGCATACAAAATGTTCAAACACTTAACTGCACAGAAGGACCACAGAAGCATGTAATGAAGACACATCAGAACATCACAAAGCTCCCATCCAGCCTTTTCTGAGGAAATAGTGGGACCTACACTACACTGATCAACTACATAAGGACCTCTGTAGTTGCAAAACACAATAAATTAGATGTCTAATAATCCCAGATGGAAAGTTCTTCTCTCAAATATTTTCCTTGTAAATATGAGGTGTTCTGTGATCAAAAATCTAGAATTCTCTCCATTCCTTTCCAGTGTGTGATTAAACCAGCAGAAATTCCCACCTGGAATACTGCACACAGTTCTGACGTCCTCAACATAAGGACATGGAACTGTTGGGTAAGTCCAGAAGAGGCCACAAAGTTGCTCTGAGGTCTCCACACAGTCTTCTCTTCTCCAGGCTGAACAGCCCCAACTCCCTCAACCTGTCCTCACAGGGGAGATGCTCCAGTCCTCTTATTGACTTCGTGGTCTCCTCTGGACTTGCTCCAACAGTTCCATGTCCTTCTTATGCTGAGGACACCAGAACTGTGTGCAGTATTCCAGGTGGATGTTATGATGCTCTTTGCACCCACAAAGTAGAACAGCACAAGCAATGTATGCAATCAGACAGTACTCTCTATTTTAAGTTTGACCATTAAGGATACGATCAATGGCAATCACAGATGAGATATGCAGGATTATTTTATGATTTAACCAAAGAAATGACACTTCTCTCCTTCATGAATACCTGGGTGGGAGGGAAGGGAAGGTTGTGAAAAGCACTGAGAATTACCATGATAAATTGTTACAACAGAGTTTACAAAAGGGACATTCAAAATTTTACAAAGTGAAATAAATTTTTACTCCTCTAGTCACTTCTATTTTATGCACACTACTGTCAACATAAAACAAACTGTACCCAAAATTTCACCACCACTGACTGCTCTTATGGCAATTGTTTGCAGTTTCTCAAACCTGTGTATTCACACATTTTCACACTAAACAGCTACTTCAGTATTAAATTGCTAGCTCCACCTAGCGTTGTCTGGGACCTATTCCAACAGGCACTGAAAAGCTCGGGGCTAGTCACAACAGCTAGCTGTACACTGCTGCCTGCTGCTGGGAAAAGGAGTCCCTTATCGTAAAGGAGGGAGGAGTTGAAGGAGCCACCTTAAATGGTAGAAGGACATGGAACCCCTGGAGCAAGTCCAGAGGAAGCCACGAAGTCCACAAGAGGACTGGAGCATCTTCCCTATGAGGACAGGCTGAGGGAGATGGGGCTGCTCAGCCTGGAGAAGAGAAGGTTGTGTGGAGACCTCAGAGCACCTTCCAGGAGCTGAAGGGGCGCCAGGGAAGCTGCAGAGGGACTGCCCAGGGCAGTGGGATTGGATTAGATGATCTCTGAGGTCCATTCCAACGCCTAAAATTCATCTTCAAATTCTGAGCCTCATTTTATTCAGGCACATTGTCTTCTTGTCATAGCACTATTCTTGAGCTTATAGTAACTTACAGTAAGCCAGTTAATAAGGAATCTAAGTTTTGGGTTTAGACATTATGCCTGCAGATTTTTAAGCTGTTCACTTTTGAGGATTAGATGATCTCTGAGGTCCATTCCAACGCCTAAAATTCATCTTCAAATTCTGAGCCTCATTTTATTCAGGCACATTGTCTTCTTGTCATAGCACTATTCTTGAGCTTATAGTAACTTACAGTAAGCCAGTTAATAAGGAATCTAAGTTTTGGGTTTAGACATTATGCCTGCAGATTTTTAAGCTGTTCACTTTTGAAATCTGAAGATAAACAGATCAATCCATTAAAACACAATGCACACTTACCTGTAAGCATTAATGTAATCCTTCCTGTGTTGTAGAAGAAAATCTTTCAGCTTTCCAATATGGGATATCTAAATGAACAGAAATCATCATTACATTTCAGTCAGACAACAGATTATTTTGTGTTCCAAATTCAATATTCTGCACTTCAAACATGAATATGTAAAATTATTTATTCTGTAATTAAACAGAGTCATAAAATTTACTCTTTTATATTATTTTTCAAACTTTAATCTATTGTAAAAGAGTTGCTGCAGCATAAGATGCTGCTGATTTTACAGAATGGAGGAACTACAGAAATATAGCTTAATTTGCCAGAGAAATGAGATGATTACCAATACAACTTCCTGCAGATCTTGAAGGACACATGATGGGGAGAGAATTATATACGTTGGTGGTATACATTTTTAGGAGGAGACAGGGGTAACCTTTTTGAAGCACATTCTCAAATATTCATTAATAATTCAGTGTAAAAAAAGCATGCAAGGAATTTCACAACACAACAGTTGGTTTCATTTACAAATACAACAAATGTGGTTTTCTCCATGTATCTGGGAAAAAGCATCAGAAGCTGTTCAAGTCTTAAAATTCCATTTTCATGCAAATGGTCCTTGTAATTAAACAAACAAAAAAAAACCACAGAGAAAGAACACAGAATAGTTTGGATAAATAGAAGATTAATTCCCCCAGCAGCTCTTTGGAAAAAAAAAAGAGGGAAAAAATGTCCTTACTAAGACCACAGTGATTTGTATAACTCAAAATAAGTGTTTCCTTTTGTAAATAAATATGCATCCATTTCCCAATTATTATTTGCTCTGTTTCATTTTTACTGTAACTCATCATATTGGATAAGAATTTCCCCAGTTTTCACATTGGAAGTTTTCCATGTGATTAACAGCACAGGAGATTTCATCCCATTCACAGCACACTGAGTTCTGTCACTACCTCCAGTAGGTCTAAAGTCTCCTAAAGTGTGTTAGAGCCATCAGACACAACAAGAGGGGAAATACTGCAATCACCATGAGACCAAGGAGGCATAAAGAGTAAGCTAAATCCTTCTACACATATTCCTTCTTATTATTTGTATAGTAATCTGTCTCAGCTCAGACTTGGTATGTCATCACATCTGCTGAATAGGTAAATTAAGTTTGACTACGAAAGGAAAACATTAAAAAGTCATACAGTGTTCCAGTGGAACAATAATACTTAACAGGCAGAAAGAAAGTATGACGGAGGACAAACCAAAAATGTAAAATAAAAAACACGTTTCTGTGCATTTACATTAGTATGTGAACAAACACTACACTACAAAATAGGCTAACAAAATTTGGTAAGCTATAAATCTTAATATTACTGCAATAGCTACAATTTAGGAGTGATTAACAAGCAGAAAGAATCAGAATGACAAGCAGGAACACTGTCTTACAGTAATTAATTCATCTAGCCACAAAGAGCATTCTATTTAGGCTAAAATTGTCATCGTGTGTTTGAATTGCACTGACCCCACTTTGCCTCTCCTTCATTTGTAAAGCTATTTTCATGAATTTAGAATGACACCATTATGCCCATACTCACATCGAGCTCTTAGTTCCCAAGATTTGCATCAGAAGTGAGACTTCTTGTTCCACTTTCCCTCAAATTCTAACAGCATCTACTGTGCTCCTGCACTGCTGCTATTTCCCTTTTGCCTTTTCTTACTGTGTACTATTGGCATAGCTTTGAATTCAATTTGTCATTACCATATCAACAAAATCAAGCAATTTTTATGGAAAAGAAGGTCTCACTAGCGTTAAAGGGAACGTGAGTTTTATCAAAAAAAGGGGGTTTTTGTATGATGCTTTATTGTCTGTAGAGAGAAAATATCTCTGATTATACAAATATAAACATAAATCGTCAAGATATCTCCAGGGTCATCAACCTGCAATTATTCTGGGGTTATCTGAGGCACACCATCCAGTCTTCACAAAGTCATCAAGCTCCAGCCAAAAGGTAATAAAGCTTCTCCCTATTAAAACTGAATGGCTTTATTAGAATCCTATGGCTCTTCTTATGGATAAGAACCATCACATTTCCAGGTTTAC